AGGAGAAGCCTGGGTTCAAATTTCTCAGATTCCATTAGCAATTTCATTCTCATTCTAAAACACTATGTGGTCATTGTCCCAGAAAGGATATAATCAGAATTTAAAATTATATAAAATTAGAGAGATAACATACATAGAATTTATTGAATCAAAGAATAATATCTTAAATCAAACAGTACCTTAGATTACATCAAATAACTCCCCATAATCAAATCATGAATCGTAAAGCTCTTTGAAAGCAAAACTTTCTGCCAGATTTCAAAACCAAAGAAAACCTGGAGTACTTCAACACTAATAAAAGCCAAATGTAATCTAAGATTAAATAAACGCAATAGGTAAAGTCAAAATAAGGAAATTAAGGAGGAGATAGGTTAATTTTATTGATAGAGCATCCATCCGATGCTGGGGGTAGCAAAATCACTATCAAGTGAAATTTAACATCCTTCAAGAGATAATCTCTTCACCATCAACAGACCCTTCCATTGAAAACATCATAAAGGTTACAAACTTTATTAAACTCATATTCAACACCCGCAACCATTAGCGCGACCGACTCTATTCATGAGAAGGTTCTTGTTTGCTAAAGACTTAACCCTAACTTGTAGGACAGAATATTCAAGGAATATTTCTTGACAAATCTTTTCTGTTCCAACTGGTGGGAATGGTAGAAGAAGACAACTCCGACTCAAAGTATTAATTCTATCTTAACCTAGAGAAAAGAAAACTTATCTTATTTAGCAAGAGATAAGGACACAATGACCCTTAGAAAACCCTTTATTGGGGTTTCGACCAACATTTTGATTTCTTACCTATAGTAGGCTCAAATATACTCTAGGTAAATAGAATTAATTTCCATTTACTCCTAAGTACAAATATTAAATTAATAAAGCCAGAAACACCCTTGAAGATTTGAACCACTTCTTGGACAACTCTTTCTCGTTTAGATGCTTATTGACTCTATCTTCAACTTGAATAATTGAGATGGATATGATCACATATGGACTTCCATGTAGACCTAGATGAACAACTGAAGGTGCTTACACATATGAATATGCATCTTTAATGCTTACTTCTTGTCTCTTCTTAGGAACAAATTCACTTGCATCGATCTCAACAAATTCACTAATGCTTTCACTATCACTCAGATCATCACTTCAAAATCATATCCCAACTCAAAGACAAGGTTATTATTCTCCTCATCTTATCTTCAATATAATTTAGTGAATTAAACCTAATAGTTCAGACTCTCCGGAAAAGGCCATTCTTTTTTAGTAAGACCAACTCTCTACTTAAATGGATACAATTAGGACCTTCACAAGATAAAAGCACTTCCATATTTTCTAACATGGTAGAATTCTGATTAGAAGTTACATGATTCCTCATCATTGTCATTGCTACTTAAGTGGTATACAATGTATTCTCATGTAAAAGGCATTCCGATATCAACTATCCCTAGTCAAATTTGCTAAAAGTGATGTTTGTATCAAAGGGAACTGCTAGAAAAGTTATTAATTAAATTTCTTTGGTATACCTTTGTTTAGTTATAGCCAATCTTTGTTGTTGATACACGGCCGAAGTTGTTGATGCTATTATTTTTGGCATCGATGATGCTTCACATCTATCAAGGAATATTATTTAGCCTTTATTTTTTTGAATTCTCAAATAAATTAGATAATTCATAGAAAAGGATAAATTAATGATATAGTACTTCTTAGCTCCACCAATTTAACGGTGGCCGGAATTCTGTTGTGGCTTTCTTTTTTAGCAATGTCAAAAGATTTTATCTTTAATTTTGATAATTAGTTTAAATTGGTTGAGAGGTTTCAAGGATTTTGGACCAGCATGACATTAATTAGAATTCAAAATTGCAGTTACAGATTTCAAACATTAAAAGATGAACAAATTTTTTCTTTTTCTTTTTAATTTAACTGGAAACTAAGTCATTTGGAGCTATTATTATAGGCAGAAAAACATGCAATGAGAAGTTGCCATGTGTCCATAGAGACAGTTGCTTTAAGTACAAGCCATGAAAAGATGCATATGGATAGCTCAGCATGTCATTATCAGGCAAATCCAATAGCATGGATGGTGAGCATGATCTTTGTTCAATATGTTTGCTGGTTGGCCCAAAATATGCATGGTAATAAAATGTTAATGGTGATAGATAACTATCCAGTCATTTCGGAAAACATTGAAAGACGTCATAACGTGGAATTGTTCTTTTTTGTCACCTAACATGACATCAAAGATCCAACCATGTGATGTTGGAATCATAAGATATTTGAAGTTGAATTTTCTTAAGTGGCATAAGGTATTGGAATGTTACGAGTTGGGACAATCTAACCCAGAGAAGATTAATGTCTTGGATACCATAAATCTTGCAGTCTCATCTTGGACTCCAGATGTTTTATAGGAGGCCATAACAAATTATTTTCGAGATAAAAAAATGCATTCAATAGATGAAGCATCAATGACGTTTTCAAATGAAGCAAATTCAGAACAAGGAATTCATGAGGTTTGAAAAATGATTAATAACTTCGGTAATCGTGAAAGAATGAATGTCGATTAGTTTTGGAATATTCCGTTAAAGATGATGAAACTGGAGAAGTCTAATCATTTGAAGATATTGTAATTAGTTTCATTGAAAATTCAATTGAGGATGACTTAGTGCCTTTAGAACCAATCACACGGAATGAAGAGCTAATGCATTAACTGCTATTCACAATTTTTTATTACAGTTTGAGAAGAAGACTGTTAAGAATTTAAAAGCAATGAGGATAAAAATGATAGATGAAATCTTCTTATATGTAAATTACAAAAAAAAAAAAAAAAAACCAAACTCAATAGCCTACTACTTTTCTAAATCTTCTTATTCTTTCTGGGGTATTTTAGATCATTACTAATTACTTCCTCCGTACTCAATTATAAAGCACAAATCAAAACTACTTTAGTTGAAATTTGTGCCTTATCATTAGGATTAGAAAGAATATGCTTTTGAAGGGATCTATATTTATATATAGGATTTTTTTTGAATTTTTTTAACTTATTGTTTATCGAATTTTGCTTGATTTTTAGATTTGTTCCAAATTAGGAACGAAAAAATTTATTATTTAACAGAATTTATAAATTTATAAATTTTAATTTACAAAGTGTTATATCAAAAGAGTCAACGTTAAAAGCTAGAATAGGGGTTCTTTTAAAATATATTTCAACAATGCCTGCTAAATGTTAAGACCGACCATGGCCCGGCTTTCAAGTTTTTCTTTTTTAATTTTTTTAATTATTATTATTTGTTTTTGCCTAACAATGTCCTCAGTTACCTTTTAGTGAGTTATTCTCTATTAAAAAAATTATGTTACATGAAGGAAAGAAACGGTGCAAAGTAATCATTAACTGTAAACTAATATATTTTTTATGTCCTGGAATAATTGTCCAATTTGATTTTTTATTTTTATTATAAATTATTTTAAAAGTAAACATTCTAACAGGACCGCCAATTTGGTATGGTTTATGTTGGAAATGAGTAAGAAGTGAATGAGAATTAAATTTATCAAGAGTTGGAAAAATGAGTTTGAATTAGGGAATTTTGTCCCATATTGGTGTTGGGAGGAGTTGGAGCTCACTTTATCAGTGAAAGCCCAAAATTGAAGTACAAGTTGCCTTGCCATTAACTCCATATATCCCGCTCGCATACTCCCGCGCAGGGGGGGTACAAATGAGGGTCCAATTCGGGACCAAAATAGCTTGACTAACGTGTGCGCACGATCTGCAGACACGAATGCCGAACCAAACTCTCGCTGGCCTGATTAATTTTCCCAATAAATTCAATGGAGAGTTTTTAGCACTAGTTAAATGCCAGGTTGACTAAATTTAACAAAGTTTAAATGTTTTGGAATAATGCTGAACGTTTCTGGACATTTTCAAAAATGGATGAGCAGTGTTAATTGTCTTAATGATCAAGTTTGAATGGACTTATTGACCTGCTGAGTTAATAGTCTTAATGGGCAGTTTGAATGGTCAAAATGTTTAAACCTTTCAGCTTTCAGTTTGCTGCAATGACTCTTGACGTTTCATCTAATCTAAAGGGTTTCTCCAGCCTATAAATAGGCACTCATTTTTCCAAACTCAACACGCCTTTCTCCCATCTCTTCTGTGTTTTCTTTCAGCCTTTCTTCTTTTCTATTTCCGGTGTTCATCATAGTTTTCTAAGTTCCAGTTCGTTGACGGAGTTTCTTTGTGCTAAGAATTCTTCGCGTTTCCGTTATATCTTGGGAAACACTTGCTCGAGATCCTCAAGCACCTAGGAGGGGGCAAATCTGTTTTAAGGAGATCGTGTTTTCACGAGTCTCGGATTATTCTATCCTTCTATTTTCTTAGCTTTTTCGAATACTTTTCATTGTTTAACCAACAATCTTAAAATAGACTTCTTTTGATCTTGTGTATTCATTATATAGTATGTACGAAGAAAATTTAAATGTATGGTGTTTTTCAATCATTAAAAACAATAAGTTGAAAAGGGAGATAAAACACAGAAAATATAGAATAGATTGCGAAAAATTTCTTTAAGCTTCCTTCTCCTGCAGCAATTTCACCTGGTCTACTAGGGTTCGGCCACCATGGCCTGATCTCGTCTACCGGCGGTGCCTCATATACCGCCGAAATCCTTTGCCAGTTTCTTTCAGAAACCAGCCGATGTGTCTACTAATAAGACTTCTTTGATCAAGGAAGTCAAGTTTATCAATGGCACTCCTACTTTGGAGTTCAAAGATGATGAATTTGAACTAATTGCCCCCCATCGGTTAAGCCTCGTCGGGAAATTTTCTTATGGTCGGCCGAAAATGGAGGCGATTCACAACGAATTCAAAAAAATCGGATTCATTGGTGGATACACTCTAGGTTTGATGAATCCTAGACATGTATTGATCCGATTTGAAACGGAGAAGCACTATCAAAAATGTTGGATTCGAACATTTTGGAATATTGGTGGTTTCTCAATGCGAATGTTGAAGTGGATGCCCAGATTCAGATTTGAGGAAGATCCCCCAGTTGTGCCAATATGGGTTGCTCTTTATGACCTTCCTATCGAATTCATGCACCCGGAAGTGATTTACTTGATGGCTACAGCCCTTGGACAGCCCTTGAAAGTGGACACTTCGACATTGAATATGACCCGTCCCTCGGTTGCTAGATTCTGCGTGGAGGTGGATCTTACCAAGGATTTGCCAAAATCTGTAAAGGTGGGCAAAAAGGGTTGTAAGAATGAACAAATTTTCACATTCGAGCATATTCCATCATATTGCTTGAAATGTTGCAAAATTGGTCATAAGGACATTGATTGTAGAGTTGGTAAACCCACGGTGCGAATGAATGAGTCTGAAAAGATTGAGGTTCCAGCCTTAAAGAAAAAGGGAATCAAAATCAAGTCGGCAAAGCCCAAATGGCCATTGAAAGGAGGAGATCCTAAAAGTGGACTGGAAGCTCAAATAGTTAGTTTAAATCCCTTGGTGGTCAAAGGGGTGGAAAAGGAATCAGCGATGATAACAGAGATAGTGGAAAGGCAGCCTGTGGAAAAAACCCTAGCGGCGCGGCTTGGTGCGCACCCTACGGGTGAAACCCTAGTTGCGCAAGTCATACCAATCCTTGAGTCACGACAACTTGAATCAACTTCTGGTCTATCTGTGATGGAAAAAGAAGCAATCCCGGTTGATTTGCAGCCATCACCGGTTAGGACTGAAACTGTTTGTGTTGTTGCACAGACTCTTGTTCAATCGGAAAATCAATTTTTGGTTCCCCAAGATGCGGAGGAGGATGACGTCGAAAAGGAGATAGAAAATGTCTTCTCTGAAGTTGATACGCAAAGTCAGAAGAAACAAGATGATATTGGTGCTACATTGATTGATGGTGAGTTGGATTTGGACAAGAATAGATCTTTACTTGAAGTTGAGTTGCGGAATATGTCCTTGGTTCCGCAACTGGATCTCACTCGATTTAATGATGATTCATCTGTGAATGAAATCCATAATACTGAGGCAGTTCATGACGAGAGAGAGTTGTGGTCTGATGGAGAGATTCATGATGATCACATTGTTGAAAACGACCAAGGCGAGCGCACTGTCACCAAGAAGCGGGGACCCAAGTCAAAGGAAGAGCGAGCTAAGCAATCGGAGGGTGTCGAATTAAGGCACTCCCTTCGACATCAGTAGGTTCCAATCTTTCTAAAGTACCCAATGATTAGTGTCATTTTTTGGAATATTCGGGGAATAAAGAGTCAGGCATCTCAACGTCGTTTGAGGTCCATGATTCAAATTTATAAAATTTCTTTGTTGATTATACTAGAGCCAATGCTTCCAGGTCATAAACTAGAAGAAATAAGAAGAGAGTTGAGGTTTGATATTGCCCTTTCATCTTCCACAAGTAAAATATGGGTGTTTTGTAGCTAGATCTTTACCATCAATATGATAGAAGATGCGGGTCAGCCGCTGTATTTTGAAGTTACATGTATTCCAGTTCAAAAAATTTGTTTGTTATCTTTGATATATGCTCAATCAAATAAAGCTGATTGGAGAACTCTTTGGAATAGCTTGGTGACATTCAGAGGTGCGCACCCTAACACTCCGTGGATTGTTGGAGGGGATTTTAATTTTATTCGGTCCTTGGATGAGTATTCGGGTTCGTCGGTGCAAGATTATGGCGCTATTGAAGAGTTTAATCAATGTATTGATGATAGTGAGTTGCTTGAGCTTCCTCCCATCGGTGATGAGTATACTTGGGGTGGTACGAGGCATACCGGTTGGGTTAGCAAATGATTGGATCGCATTTTGTTATCACAAGAATGGATTAGTCTATTTCTGAAGATTTCGATTGAGCATCTGAGTCATACAACTTCGGATCATTCTCCACTACTCCTCCAATTTGATGTTCAAGTTGAAAGTAGCCAAGGTGTTTCTGCTTCCAACAAATGTGGTTACGGAGGCCAGAATTCAAAGAGTTGGTTAAGGAAAATTGGTCTCAGCATGTCCATGGCTATGGCATGTTTACCTTTTCTACCAAGCTCTGCCGACTGAAATTGAAGCTTAAAGAATGGAATAAAGAACATTTTGGAGATGTTTTTGTAAATTTAAAGAAGGCTGAAGAGCGGGTGAAGGAATTGGAAATTGAGCATGATCAAACTGGTGATGTAGCGGACCGAATCAATCTTAACGAGGCCAATGCTTTTTATCTCCAAAAGTTGAAGGAGCATGAAGATTTCTGGAAACAAAATATGAGATTGAAGTGGTTAAAGGAAGGGGACATCAACTCATCCTTTTTTCATGCTACGTTGGCGGAGAAGAATGTAAAATTGGGAATCCACAAGATTCAATCGAAAGATAGAAGAACCTTAACTGAATTAAGGGATATAGAGGCTGAGGCGGTGAATTTATTCCACACCTTGCAGACTGAGGATTCCGAGCCAACTTTTCAAGTAGAAAAACAGGAAAATTTTTTGCATTTACTACATGATGAGGTTGATTTTTTGGAAAAAGAAATGTTATGTGCTACGGTTACAATGGATGAGGTTCGAGCTGCGGTTTTCAGCCTTGGTGAGGATAGTTCTCCCGGAGTAGACGGCTTTGGAGGGACGTTTTATAGAGGATTTTGGGATGTTATTGCTGAAAACTTGCTGTGTGCATGTTCTGAATTCATGAGTGGAGTGCCGCTTCCGAAAGGTGTATCTAGTACCTTAATTACCTTGCTGCCGAAGAAGCATTCCTTTACTACATTTTCAGATTTTAGACCCATCAGTCTCTATACTTTTCTGAACAAGGTTTTCACGAAAATCTTGTGTGAGAGGATGAAGAAAGTTTTGCCAAAAATCATATCGGAAGAGCAATCGCTCTTCTTGAAGGGCGCAACATTATAGATAATGTATTTTTGGCTCAGGATCTTTGTCAATTTGTTACTCACAAGGCTGTGGGAAATAATGTGATCATCAAGGTCGACATGATGAAAGCATTTGACCGAGTGTCGTGGAATTTTTTAGAGAAGGTTTTTCTCAAGCTAGGGTTTCCGCAGGGGTTTGTTTTGTTGATTATGAATAATCTTCAGTGCAGCTGGTTTTTGGTGATGGTCAACGGCTCTCCAGCAGGATTTTTTAAGGCAACACGTGGTATAAAACAAGGTGATCCATTGTCACCTTACTTATTTATCCTAGTTGCGGAGGCAATGACTAGGCGTCTAAATTTTTTGATGCAAGAAGGAAAGCTAGCTGCATATGGCACTCCAGCTGGGAGTTTGAGGGTGTCGAATTTATCCTTTGCCGATGATTTGGTAATCTTTACTATAGGAGAAAAGCGATCTTTAAGAGCATTGGATGCTTTCTTCAATGATTATGAAATAGCATCAGGCCAAAAGACGAATCGCCAAAAAAGTTTTTTCCTTGTTGCGAAGTCATGTCGTGCGCGAAGGATAGAGATCATCACGGATACTTTTGGGACGCAAAAGGGTTCATTTCCTTTTATGTATCTAGGCTGCAAATTATTTCAGGGGAGGAAAAAGGCTTGAACTTTTCAATTCTTATTGGATTCGCTGGATTCTCGGTTGGCTAATTGGAAGAATAAATTGTTAAGGACGGGTGGAAGACTTATTCTTTTGAGGCATGTACTTCCTGCCATACCACTCCATGTGTTTTCCGCTATTAATCCTCCCACCTTGGTCCTCAAGCAAATGGAGAAAAGGTGCCAAAGGTTTTAGTGGCAAGGTTTGAGTGAAGAAAAGAGAAGGCATTGGCGCTCTTGGGAACGATTAACATTTCCAACTGAGGAAAATGGTCTAGGGCTTCGCCGATTTATTGACGTTGTGCAAGCTTTTTCCTATAAGCTATGGTGGAAATTTAAGCATCAACATGGATTATGGAGCAAATTTATTTGTTCGCTCTTGGATACTGCAAAAAAGAAAACAACTTGGAGTAGGGTTTCGAAAGTTGAGCAAGAGGTAGCAAAAAATTCAAAGGTTTTGGTCCGCGAAGGTGATAGGTTTTTCTGGTTTGATAATTGGGTGCCGGATGGAATACTTTAGGATTGCACTCATGGTTCTCCTCCAATGCCAACTCTTACTATACAAAATTTTCTTACTAATAAGGATTTTCTCTTGAATGAATTGCATGTTGCGCTTGGAATGCAAAAGGTGCAAGTGTTGCGTGACATGGATATCCCCCTCACTAGCGAACCTGATTTGCTGGTTTGATAATTGTGTGCCCGATGGAATACTTTGGGATTGCACTCATGGTTCTCCTCCAATGCCAACTCTTACTATACAAAATTTTCTTACTAATAAGGATTTTCTCTTAAATGAATTGCATGTTGCGCTTGGAATGCAAAAGGTGCAGGTGTTGCGTGACATGGATATTCCCCCTCACTAGCGAACCTGATTTGCTTGTTTGGCAGCATTCATCTAGTGGTAACTTTTCAGTAAAGTCGGCCTTCTTGAGCCTGAGGAGAAGGAATCCAGTTCATCCGTTGGCTAAGAATTTTTGGCATAAATTGATTCCTAAGTGTGTCATTTTTTGTTTGGAAGCTCAGGAATTTATTGGTGCCATTTCCTGAAATCTTATCCAGTTTCGGTATCCAGGTTCGGCCCTCTATTTGTTTGTTTTGTAGAATGCATGAAGAGAATATATCCCATTGCTTCTTTGGCTGCCCGAAAATCAAATGTATTTGGGTGCATTTTGTTAACTTGTTTGACATTAAGCTGGAAGCTGAGGTTACATTGCTGGATTTGTTACAAAAGTGGTGGAGTGCCGGCTTTACCTTGGTTTACAATCTCTCATTCGAATAATCCCTTATTTTATTCTTTGGGAGGTTTGGAAAGCTAGGAACAAAATATACTTTGATGGTATTCCGTTTTAGAAGGGGAGAGTTATTCATGAAGTAACTGTCTCAATTCCGAACATTTTGTTTGTGCATGATTTGAAGACAAGGAATGTGGAGGAAAGGGAATTCATTGATAATGCATTTGGTATAAAGTTGCAAAAAATTCAAAGACGGACTTGTATCTCGGTTTGTTGGAAGTCGTGGAGTAATGAAGGCTTTGTTCTTAATACTGATGGGTCGGCTGTTAATGAAGATTCTGGCTATGGTTTTGTCATTAGGTGCTTTGATGGGAACTTCCTTTATGGAGAGCATGGTTTTATTGGCTCGTGTGATAGTTTTGGCGCAGAGGTTTATGGCCTTCTTTTTGGTGTTCGAAAATGTGATCATGTCAATTTGGAGCATGTTGACATTCAAACGGACAACAAGGTGCTGGCCGATCTTTTGAGGAATCTAAAATTAATTCCATAGAAATATTACTTTCAAATTAAGGAGATTCATAGTATTATGGAGAGGCGTTCATATGCAATTTCTCACATTTTTTGTGAAGCAAATTCAGTGGTGGATAGCTTGGCCGGTCAAGGATCACAAGGGCACTCTTGCACTTATACTAGATTGGGGGAATTGCCAAGGCATGCTCGTGGTCTAGTTCGTTTAGATCAAGTTTCATTTCCATATGTACGAGTTAGAGTCAAATAGATTTGTAATATGGTAAGTCTTAAGCACTTCCAGACTCTTTTATTTAATGGAAAATTAATAAAAAAAGGTAGGGAGGAAGCTAAGGAACTGAATGATATATATGTCCATCTCTTGGGTAGACCCCTTGGGTGCATTATATCATTTGGCTATAACTGATTCAAAAATTCATCTCTTGGGTAGACCCCTTGAGTGTTTTTGAGTCAGTTAGAACCCGAACTCCTTTCTAACCCTCCTATTAATTTTTTTTTAAAAAAATGTACCAAAAATTTAAAACGGCTAAGGATTTATGGGAATTCATGGACCGGAAACATAAATCGAAGGATGCCGGCTCGAAGAAATTTGTAGTCGGACGGTTCCTTGATTATGTGATGGTTGATTCCAAGACTATTGATAGTCAAGTGCAAGAGATCTAGTTGATTCTACACGACATCCAGACTAAAGGATGATCTTAAGTGAAACCTTCCAAATAGCTGCGGTCATTGAAAAGTTGCCTCCGGGCTAGAGAGATTTCAAGAACTACCTCAAGCACAAGCTTGGAGGATCTAATTGTTAGACTTCGCATTGAAGAAGACAACAGGAAGTCAAAATCAAAGGCATCTAATGGCGTACAGGCTAAGGTCAATATTTTGGAGCATGGTAAAGGCCAAGGCTCGAAGAAC